GAGGGGCAACAGTTCACATCAACAGAAAAATCTAAAAAATATTAGATGTCCTAAATTTCACCCAATCAAAATATGGGCATTTGAAGTGAATAGGTACTTCTCAGATAAAGAAGCACAAATGGTCAGTGAGTATATGAAAAAGTATTCAACATCACTGCCCATTCAAGAAATGCAAATTAAAACAACACTGAGATTCCATCTCACTCTAAAAAGAATGGTTATCATTCAGAAAACAACCAATAAAAAATGCTGGCCAGGATGTGTGGAGAAAGGAATCCTCTTCATTGTTGGTGAAAGTATAAACTGATACAACCACTATGGAAATCAGTAAGGACATTTCTCAAAAAAAAAAAAACAAAAACAAAAACCAGAAATTCAATTTTACACAGCTATTGCCCTTCTAAGTATCTTCTCAAAAGAGCTAAAAGCATCACACCACAGTGATGTACATAATCATGCTCTAGAAGCACAATTTATAGTAACTAAATCTTGGAAACAGACTATACATCCATCAACACTTGGGTGAATAAAGAAAATGTGATTTTTAGGCACAATGGAGTACTACTCTCTATAAAGAAGAATTTGAGTTACTTATAGGAAAACAGATGCCTCTTGAGACCATAATGTTAAGCTAAGTAAATCAAGTAAATCAAATAGACAAGCTTAAATATTGCATGCTTCTCTTATATTAAAAACTCAATATAAAAATAAAGTGCAAAATAAAATACATGATAGAAAAAAGTTGAGAGAAAGTAAAAACCTATTATAACCCAAAATATACAAAGCATTTAAAAGTGTACTTTGGTCTAGTATAAATTTTTTGACCTATTAGTCTGGTTGTTAATCTACATATATGATAATTGATTTTATGAGGACTTATGAGAAGTAAATTAATCTTAACCTGGCAAAATAAAAGCAAGGTAGAAGGAAGGGGAAACCAGGATGTTTTAGGTACATGCACAAATTCTATAACATGAATGTAATTGCTATGTATTGAAACATGTCTAATAAAAATTAAAATTAAAAAATTAAAAATTATAAAAATAAGATGGTACCCCACTTACAGTGGCTTGACTTAAGATATTTAGACTTTGTGATAGTGCAAAAATAGTACACATTCAAAAGAAAAAATACTGCAAATTCTGAAATTTTGAACTTTTCCAGAGCTAGGGATATGAAATGTGATACTCTCGGGATGTTGGGCAGTAGCAGCAAGCTGCAGCTCTCAGTAAGTTATGCAATTGGGAAGGTAAGTGCTTTTGAATGCTGTGTTTTGTATTTTCACAGCCCATCATATCTACAAAATGGTTAGTGAGTACATGAGATGTTAAACGTTTTATTACTATAAATGGGCTTTGTATTAGATGATTTTTTCTAATTATTGGTTACTATATTCTGAGTATGTTTAACATAGGCTCAGCCTTTATGATGTTGAGTCTATTAGGTATATTTAGTGCATTTTTGACTTAAAATGCTTTCTCTTTACTATGTATCTATCAGATGTAACTCATATGTAACTGACTCAGGAAGGAATCATCCAGCGATATTAAAGCTAATAGGTAAATATTTGAAAGTTAACAGGATATTAAATAATCACAAAGTATTCCTTCTTTGAAAGAAGAGCACTATTAAATAGGAAAGTAAAATATATTTGTAGTTAAGTAATCTAGCAGACACCCCTCTAACCAAATGACCAAAATTAACCTTAGCATTAGTGAACTAATCCACAGCAAACTTTTGATATGATAGACTGAAAAGATTAGAGTATCTCTTCTAGTTTTTATTATTTATTTATTGATTTATTTTTTTCCAGTACCAGGAACCAAACTCATGACCTTGCACTTGCCAGACAGGCACTGTGCCACTGAGCTAAATCCCCAGCCCCTTAAAGTATCTCTTCTGACAAAGAAGTCAGAAGTCCTGACAAAAACACACAATCTGACTCTAATCAGAAAGAAATATCAGACAAATTCAAATTGATAGATGCTCTACACCTCTTGAAAAATATTAATATCCTGAAATACCAATCATGACTCAGGCACTTTTTTAGATGAAGGGAACTCAAAGAGATATTACTTTATGCAATGTGTGATCCTGGAATGTTTTACTACAAGAAAAATTATTATGATAATTGGCAAAATCTAAAGGATTCAGATTAGATAATATTGTATCAATACTGATTTTCTCACTTGATGACTATCTTATAGTTACATAAGGGATGCCCTATTTTGAAAAGCACAGTTATGTGAAGTATGTCACGAGAAGAACCATAGGCCTGGCATATATATCTACAATTTACTCTGGTTCAAAAACATATGTACATACACATATGCACATATATAAATATATGGAAGACAGGAATAAAGCAAATATAATGATAATATCTTTGAAATATGAACATAAACCATACATAGATTCTTAGTACAAATTTTTCAAGTTTTCCATAAGTTGAATTATATCTAATTTCTCCTCCTTGTGGTACTAGAGATTGAATTCAGGGCTTTATTCATACTAGGCAAGTGCTCTACCATTGAGCTACATCCTCAGCCCTTCTTATTTTATATTGAGACAAGGCTTCACTAAGTTTCCCAGACTGGTCTTAAACTTTTGGTCATCTCAACAACCATACCCAGTTTAAATTTTTACAAGTCAGTATATTTAAGCTTCTAAAAATATTTCATCAAAATAAAAAGACTAGAAATTTTTTCTTTTGCATTAGATGATTTTATATTTTGATTTATGTCAGAATAAATAAAACTTCTGGTTTAATAGAGATTCTCTTTTACAGCAAAATGGTGAGTAATTTTCTCACTTAGTATTTTCATTGTTATGATAACATTTGTGGAGGTTAGCAAAAGTAATATAATATCAAGATCATCAATAATTTTACTAGTATTTTCAATTCGTAAAGCAGAAAATGAACTTCAAATCAGAAGATCTAGATTCTATTTTTGGTTTTGCCATTAACTAAAAAAATTTAATAGTTCACACTCTTAGTCTGCAAACCTGATATTTCCATGAAAAGTCAACCTATTAATAGATGAGAGAAACACAGGTTGAGCTGGATTTATATTTTCATACACACTCAAAAATGTTAGGATAACATTCAAAGGTATTTTTAAACCATTGTAACTAGACTAGTATTTTATTAATTTTTAGTATTCACATGTGCTTATAGTGACAAGTGGTAAAAAGCTAATACAAAAGTGCACAGGTGCAGACTTAAAGGACAGAAGAGGAGAGACTGTGAAACATTTGCCTATTTTGACATTTCTTCCCAAAAAGGTAGTGTAGGAAAGAAAATAGAGTTTAAGGTAAGAGTGCCTGTATTAGTTTCCTGGGTAGCAGAATATTTAAAATCATAAGAACCTTACTGTAATAGCTACTAATTTTTTATGTTAAAGAGATGTGGAGAACTGTGACATGCAACATTTTCATCCAGTTGATGCTTAGGTAAAAATAACAGTGTCGCTGAGGTTTCCCGAAGGTGGATGAGTATCTGTTTGATTTCTAATAAGAGTAACTAACTACCTAACAGCTTGTGCAGTACAATCAGTGTCTGACACTAGATAGTCTTACATTGCTCATCCCAGTGCCCTAGTTAGTGGCAAGTACTGTCATTGCTGGAGCTCTTTTAATATTATCTGATACTGTGCATCATAGTCTTGCTTGGTTTATAGCTAATTCTTGGAAAAATGGTTAGGAGCCACCTCTGATGCTAGACAGAAGGTTAAAAAAGACAATAATCATTCCAGGATGAAATGTTATTCTGATTTACTTCTAAAATCTTCCTCTCTCCCTCCCTCCCTCCCTTCCTTCCTTCCTCCCTCCCTTCCTTCCTTCCTTCCTTTACTTCCTTTCTCCCTCCCTTCCTTCCTTCTCATTTTTCTTTGGTTCTTTCAGTCTCTCTTCCTCTTTCTCCCTCTGCAGCATTTAGTCTTTGCTACTTTCCAAAGAGGATTTTATGTAATTTACAAGAAAAGCCATGCACAACTGACAGATAAAAATAAGGAGAAAACAAAGAAAAAGGGAAGAATATCTTCCCTACAAATGTCAGTATGAGCTTGGAAATAAAGCTGAAGTATTTTTCCTCAGAATTATGGAACACAGAGGTTACAGCAATATAACATACCAATTTTATTATGAATAAAGGAGAAACATTTCCTTTCTTATGGGGAAACAAGTTTATTATTGCTACATGATTTTACAAATATGCTAACTTGGAATTTATAAACATAAAAATAAGTTAACTGTACTTTTATTTTAGATAAAACATAAAAATACTTAACTCTGTTTCTTAACAAACATTTATATAACAGATAGTGATTCCTTTGGTATTTAATGAGAAATAATCTGGATTCGTTGATAAAATAATGTACAAGGAAAAATCTGATTTCATAGATTTGTAAGACTCTTATAAAGCAACAAAAATAACTAGATCCTCAAGAAATCTCTACACTAAAAAACATGTTAAAACATAAGATTGAACATATGGGAAATCTTATCTTAAATACTAGCTACTTTGAATACTAGGGGAAATTGGTAGAAAATTGAAACTTCAAATCTACAAAATGAAAAGATACAAAATTCTCATATTAGGTTTAAGCTAATGTTTTTTTTTTGAAGTTTAGTTGCATTCTCTCTTAGATATATCTTGGAGAGAGAGGGACAGACAGACAGACAGACAGACATTAGATATTTTTAACTTCATCCAGATGAGAATAGATGTCATATCTTAACTTATTTAAAAATTTAAAAGACTAAGAAATGTTTAGAGAGGTAGTGGTGCTGAGCTATAATCCACATAGAATAAGAACTAGTACACTATCTGAAAAGCAAATTTGTAAATTATATTTCACTATAGAACATAGAGAAATAAAACTATAAAAAACACATTTTAATACACTGAGGTTAAGTGACAGACTAATTCAGAAGCTGCAGATAAGAATTTGCCCTAAAAAATGAAGACTCAAACTTTGTCCAGCAAAAGTTTGAATATTTCATTTACTTTTCAAAGTATGGCTTCTCTTAAGAAACTCATTCCTCAGGGCACACTTTACATCCTTATTCCTCAGGCTGTAGATTAGTGGGTTCAGCATGGGAGTTATAAGGTTATTCACGATCTGAATTATAGCACCAAGCAAGGGACTGGGGTTGGGCTGCAGATAGATGATGACTATTGGTCCATAAACACAAAGGATTGCAGTGAGGTGGGCACTGCAGGTGGAGAATGCTCTTTGCCTGCCCTCTGTTGAGCGGATTTTCAATATGGAGATCCCAATGCGAATGTAGGACACAAGGATGATTAGAAAGCAAGCCAGAGACACAAGACCAACATTTGTAAAACTTACCCTCTGAGCTAGAGAGGTGTCCTCACAGGCCAGAGGCAACACTGCAGGTATATCACAGAAGTAGTAGCCCACCTGGTTGGAGCCACAATAGGGTAGTTTGAAGGTGAGGGAGGTTAGGACAATGGCATGGACACAGCCGCTCATCCAGGTTCCTGTGGCCAAGATAAAGCACACCCAGTGGTTCATGATGACC